GCCGTTCAAAAACAGTAGGCGGGACGGCAAATGGTTAATGGAGAGATCTGGGGTCTATTAGACCCCAGATTTCTCCTCTCTCCTCTTCCAGGATCAATTTGATCCGATGCTTTCCCAAGCCAGGAATGGCCAGTAATAGCTTGTTTACATCCTAGGAAAACCAGAAATGACAAAATACTCATAGCTTCTGGTTTCTTATACCATAGAGATGATCAGGGGTATTCCTGTCCTTGATCATCTCTATGGTATGCTAGCAGAACCACCTGCTTCAGTCCTGGCCCAGGGGTGGGATGGGAGAGCCTGGGAAGGTGGTGGGAGGAAGGAACCCCTTTTGCCACCTGTGAAAGCAATCCAGCGGCTAATTAGCCACTAGAATAATTTTTGCATAAAAGTGCATTTCCGCCTGAAAAAAGATACTGGGGTGATGCCTGTAGCTGCAGGCATCACTTTGGTATAACCACTTCAACCTGGCTATGTATGGGTATGTTGTGCAGGCTGAAGTGGTTAATCTGGTGGCTGAATTCCACCAGAGCAGGTTTTTGGAAGGTGTTATCAGCACAGGAAAGGCCATGAGTTTAGCAATGTGCCAGGAAGCAGGTAAGATATTACTGTAGCTTCATACAATAGAACTCTTCAGCTAAAACAGGCATACCACATAAGTGATTATAAAGAAAAAAGGGGAGGCAGCAGTTATTCAAAATAAATCCTTATAAAGTGACTAAAAACTCCTATATTACCATAAAGTCTATATTAGCAATATGTTTACTTAAATCATCATTTAAATTTTACCACAGTGCCATGTAAATCACATTTTTCTAGCACAAAAAAGTGCACACAAAACCTTTTATTAAATGTGCTCATCAAGTGATCAGCACAAAGAATATTTAAAGTCCAGCAAAAAAAGATATAGTGAAGTCCACTCTGATGATGTATTCAATAAATCAAGTGCCAAACTAACTATTCACCAATTGCTACAAGTTTCCAAAATTATGGTGCATTTCCATTTTACTCCATGCTACTCCACACCTTCCCACTGTCAAAATGCAGTCCCCGGAACTTGCAACGCCTTAATTTAATAAGAAAGTCTTTAAAAATGCTTTTGTTGCAGTGGTAGCTCCAGGTGGTCTCCTCTTCTCCTTTTTGCGCTGACTCCTCTGGTTATACAACTTCTTACACCAGTAAACAAAGCAAACACCAGAGAGACCTACAATAGTGTAATAATGTTTATTAGATAAAAGCACACAACAAAAAAAGCACACTTACAATAAAGGTGCCAGTTACAAAGGCACCTTGTAAATCACTGCTCTACACAACTCAGAACGCTTGTTACTTCCTAAATGTGGCTTTGCACTCCAACTGGTGGAAGTGACGTTACAGATGTGAAGCCCCAGCTCACTGGATTTGGTCATCATCAGGGTTAATTAGGAATAGTAGCTTGATAAAGAGCAATGTTATGCTTGAAACTGCGCAGTTGTGCTAATCTTTGTATGCAGATATATTTGAAGTAAAAAATACTTTTTGCTAATTGGAGATATCATTCTAATTTTTTCTTGGATGTTCTACGTTGGTATAATCATAGGAGCCCAGCATTAATGAGATTTTCAACAGACAGGATTGCAACGTAACAAGAGTAACCCACTCCAATTTTTGATTACTAATTGGGAATAGGCAGCCATATGGCTACAGTAAACCTTTACAAAGTATGTGACATAGGCATATTCAAATTTACATTTCTGCTTTACAACTCCATCCATAGTTTAAGTTTACGTTATTGAATATTATACAATCAAGTCCCAAGATATATTTTATACTTTGAACAGATTAGAGATTCACTGGGTAATAAGATAGCACATACAATCAGGAATGTAAACAATATTTTTTCAACATGGAACATCGGTACTATTTAGTAATACAACATTGGAAAAGTTAAAATACACCACTGAAACTAAAACTATTTATGTATTATTGGTTGCATTTAAATATTAGACATGCTCAAAAGTATATTTTGTGTAAAATACAGTAGAAAATAAATGCTTAAACAATTAGGGATACTGGGAAGAGCAAGATAAAATTCTTTTGTGATTCTCATGGGGGATAGCAGGATAGACCACACATATCAAGCTGATCCAGCCAGGTCTGGAATGACCAAGGTCATCCATTTAGTGCTTAATGATAAGTGGCTGGATTTAAAAGGGATTAACAATCACACATGGAAAATAGCTGGCATGTATATACAGCATACTTGGTATTGGATTTAATTAGACATGTATAAGTGATATATACTGTGTATATGCATATACATACAGTGCTCAGCCTAAATGAGTACACCCCTTTTGAAAAGTAAGATTTTAATAAATATCTCAATGAACAAGATAAAAGTAAGGTTAATAATATCACTTAGATTACAAAATCTTCAGTTTTACTCAAATTAGTTGATACAAAAATGAATACACCCCACAACAAAAACTACTACATCTAGTATTTTGTATGACCTCCATGATTTGTACGGACAGCACCAAGTCTTCTAGGCATGGAATGAACAAGTTGGCAACATATTGCAACATCTATCTTCTTCCATTCTTCAAGAACAACCTCTTTTAAAGCCTGGATGTTGGAAGAAGAGTGATGCTCATCTAGTCTCTTCAGAATTCCCCATAGGTGTTTGATTGGGTTCAGATCAGGAGACATACTTGGCCACTGAATCACTTTCACCCTGTTATTCTTCAGAAATGCAACAGTGGCCTTAGATGTGTGTTTTGGATCATTGTCATGTTGGAAACGTGCATGATGACCAAGGGCACGGAGTGATGGTAGCATCTTCTCTTTCAATATAGAGCAGTGCATCTATGAATTCATGATACCATCAATGAAATGCAGTTCTCCCCGATACCAGCAGCACTCATGCAGCCTCACAGAAGGACACTGCCACCACCATGTTTCACTGTCGGAACCATGCATTTTTCTTTGATCTCCTAACCTTTGCAACACCATACAGTTTTGAAGCCATCAGTTCCAAAAACATTTATCTTGGTCTCACCACTCCAGAGTACAGAGTCCCAGTAGTCTTCTTTTTCAGCATGAATCCCGGAAAATTCTAGGTGGGTTTTTTTTTGTTCATGGGCTTTAGGAGAGGCTTCCTTCATGGACGACACACATGCATGCCATTCCTCTGCAGTGTATGCTGTATTGTGTCATGGGAAACAATCACCCCAGAACTTTAGCTAAATGCAGTGAACTTGCATGGTGATTTTCTTCAACCCTTCTTAACAGAAGAAGTCTCTGTGAGATGGTTGCAGGTACATTTTTGTATTTCAATGTTCTTTATTAATTTTATATAAAACAGAGGCAAGAAAACACGCCCACGCAGGTGCTATCAATTGCACAGATAAAAAAATACAAAATAGAAAAAACAGTGCTCTAACGCCAACAGGGCAAAAGGTACACCCACGCAGGGGCTATCAATGGCACATAAGTTACAATAACATTAATGTAACTCTAACTGTAACAACTAAAGGCAGCTATCCACTGTCTCACCAAAAACAAACAGAGAATAGAAAGAAAGGAGTACAAAGAGAAAGGAAGGAAAAAAACAAAAAAAAAAGAGCAGGGGTCCAAGAACGCCAATACCGAACGCCATTACATCCCCAGACTAGCCAGGGGAGCGTGGGAAAAGGCATATTTCAACCAAGGCTCCCATATTTTAAAAAAATTATGTTGGGAGTTGTTGCAGATACTCAACATCTGTTCGTTGAGCATCATAGTGGTCATACGATCCCGCACCCCCTGAAGAGGGACAAACTGATTCTTCCAGGCCTGAGCAATTGTTCTAGTGGCTGATAAAAACAAATAGGAAACCAACTTCTGCTGGTGAGCCAAGAGGCCCGGCATGGGGCAATGAAGCAAAGCATACCGAGCATCCCGACGTATGGAGAGATGGAACAAGGTGAAAAGAAGGCCAAACACACGAGACCAAAAACGAAACGCAGGTACATTTTTGTTAAATTTTTGTATCACTTCGGCTACAGTATTCTGACTGATAAGTAAAGCTTTGCTGATCTTCTTGTACCCCTCACCCTTCTTGTGTAAATAAATTTTCCCAGGACTTGTGACATTTCTCTTCCATGTGGTGCCATTGCTGACGGCATGAAATCGGAAGGGGATTTCTTTGTTAAGTAATGCCCTTTTATAATCAACTGTCTGATGGATACCTGTTTAATTAATAATTAGACTCAACTGTAGTTGAATTCTTGTTAATTAGGATTTTGTCTAAAATTTTGCTTTGTTCTTAAGACTTTCACTGGCGTGTATTCATTTTTGCAACATGGTCTTGAATAAATTTGTTAGGAAAAATACTTTCCTAGCAAATCTTGTTTTCAATCAATGGCCTGCATTTGTAGGAGTATTTTGTAGTATGGTGTCTCATAGAAAATGTTGCTTTGAAAAGAAAGTAAAGTTTTTTTGACAAATCTGTTGGGGTATACTAATTTATGCTGAGCAATACACACACACACACACACACACACATATATATACACACACACACACACACACACACACACACATTTCTAGATGTTTAAATGTGTAATTATAAAGCACCAGATTACCCAATGCTTTAAAAGCACATGGAACTGTTCCAGCTGTCTCTGTATCGCTGAAGGAGTCAACTTAATGTCTTTGTTGTAGTCACCCAGACACCCAGACAGCATTGTGGATTGAAAACAACATTATCAATCATTGTATATTTGTTTTTTTTACACAACTTTACCATTTTATTGGCTATATACGTAGCACTCTCTAGTTTAGATAGATAGAATTTTTTTGAGTCAGAGGTTGTTAGAAGCCTGGGATAAGTCAGCCTGGGAGTGAGGTAGAGAGGTTACCACAGGACAGGCTCAGAGGCTGTATAGGTCAAGGCTTCTGGAGCCCTCCCACCCTACTAGAAACTTGAGGAACTTTCTAGATTAGGGGTAGAGGAGGGGAGGAGGCCTAGATTTGCATGTTTAACCACTTCCCGTCTGGCCCATGTACATAAACGGCCGGACGGGAGCAGGGCAGGAGCAGGTGGCCATTTATACACGGCCTCCACATTCACTGCCTGTGCGCGCTCCCTGGGAGCACAGTGGAACACCGATCACTGTATGGGACCTCTGTGTGAGGTCCCGATTCATGTGATCACTGCTTGGCCAATCAGTGATCACAGGAACAGTAGTAAACAAGATGTCACTTCCTGACATCATTGCTTACTACGTGTGAAATCTGTAAATGATCACAGAGGTCACATGGTACAAGGCTATTCACAACAGCCATGTGCCATGTGACAAGCTGTGACCAATTACAGCTCTCACAGTATTTCTCAATGGCTGAAAGAATGCAGCCACAGAGAATGGGAAATGATTGCTTTTACAACCTTTATGGGTGTAAAAGCAATCAGTGTAAAAAAAGAAAAAGAAAATCTTCATCCCCCCCCACAAGTAGTACAGTGTCACTATGGTGACACTGTGCTGCTAGGGTGACAGTATGTTGAAAAAAAACCCATAAATAATAATATGAAAAAACAAAATAAAAATGTAAAAAACATTATAATTTTTGGTTATAAACTAATTTGGGTTATTTTTGTTTTATTAAAATATAGATGAATACATTTTGGCCGAGATTTATGAAGAAAGATTATTTATTTGCAAAATTTTATAAGAAAAACGCTTTTTTTTCAAAATGTTTGGATTTTTCATTTATATAGCAAAAAATAAAAATCCCAGTGGTGAATAAATACCACCAAAATAAAGTTTTATCTGTCTCAAAAAAATGCCACAAAATTCATATGGGTACAGTGTTGCATGACCACGCAATTGTCATTCAAAGTGGGATAACACTGAAAGCTGAAAATTGGCCTGGACAGGAAGGAGGTGAAAGTGTCTGGACTTGAAGTGGTTAAGGGAACTTGGCCAATCCCCAGGCAGGAGGTTGGGCATGTTGGCTAAGAGTAAACCTTAAATGTGGCAGGGCCTGTGCAGCAGGGATGTTGTTGGAGTTGGGTGGAAGATGGACTGAAGGAAGGTGCTGGAGTTTGGAACCTGGGAGGGGGCCTTGGGGAGGGGGGCCTACCTACAGGCTGGTGCCTGTTTGCACAGTGTACAGCGTTTGCTGAGAAGGTTGTTACTCAAGTTTTATAGTTCCTTGGGCACCCCATATATCCCTAGACCCAATCCAAGTTGTTAACCCCCTAATAAAGACAACAAAACCAAGCTCAAGGACTGTTTTACTGACTTTGAGAATGTGGAAAATGAGTGCTGCTTGGCTGTGCAGAGCTTAGGGAGACCCAGCAAAAATCCAGCAGGCCTCAAGGGGGTAGCACTGCATCCAGCATAATTATGGATAGATGCAGCTTATATAGTGCATGAGCAGTATTGAGTGGGCACTCATAGGTCTGCAAACAAGGAGTCATGTTTGCACTGAGAAAGGTGAGCAGTGTCCAACTGAAAACATCAGACTTTAGGAGGGCCAAATTAGGGCCAGTGAGGATAGAAAATGTCCTGGCCATAGCATCAGTGAGAATAAACATGTCCTCAGGGTTGTTGGTCAGTAGGAGTAGTGCCCCAACATTGGTATTAGTGGGAAGAATATTCATTGGTTTCATGGAAAGAAGTACTGCCCCATTGTTGGTCTCAGTGAGAGGAATAGGGCCAGACAAAGGGTAGCAAAGGGCCACATCTGGGCCTCGGGACCCCTGTTCTACAATATAAATATGACTCCAGACAGTGGCTGTATGTGCAGATCTCAGTATATTTTATATATATATATATATATATATATATATATATATATATAAATAATAACCACTACAGCAGGGAGTGTGTGCCTGTATGGTTAGTTTATATATGCACACATGTATGAGTGTTATGTTTCTTCTAAAAGAGGCATGAAATTATATTACTTTAAACATTAATGTCATGTTTTTTTAAGCAGAGCTATACCATCAAATGAAATTTCCCACCTAAAATGAAACGCAAGTGTTCCTTCTATGTGCCTATAACACACCCGAGTCTCCATGATATTTAAAATGTCCAACCATGTTGATGAATACATAAATATTGACTGCAGCTGTAGAATTTAATAAAAGCTCAGGTTTGAACTAGCAAGCTAAATAAGTGTATTATTGGAAACTTGTGGTCAAACTTGAAACTTGAAGGAAATATTTTAGCACTATCACTGTATTAAATTGCAATCATTATTTAATTTATCTTCTCTGAAATGACTTTTGGGAAGTGCACCAAAAACCCCTATTTACCTAAGCCAGGAAATAAGTTGGTGATCAGCTAGGTGCATGAAGTAATTGAAAGCTGACAAGGGACAGTATAATGCCAGCATTGTAACAAGCCTTAAAGATATTGTTGGACGTAGAACTTAAACGAGTGTTGCAAACACTTTTCAATTTGTTTGAAAAAAATAGGAAGAAAAAAAGTAATAACATACAAATGAGTTGTTTCGCTGCTTTCTTTTTCTCCTATTAAATTGAGTAATATCAAGTCTGGCGTATCTATAGTTCAGGAACATAGCCCTCAATTACAAATCTGGAGCAAAGTCTAATATGTTCTGAGCTGGTTGGGCTCTAGTCTGTAAGCTTCTAGGTGACTTGTGTGCAATGTGTTTGTCACTTTGAACTTCAGAACAAAGAGCGGACTGTAAACTGACTTTATAAAAAGTATTATGGCATACCACAACTAAAATGTTACGGCCTTATTAAACTACATTAAAGTGGCATAAATTATTAGTAATAAAAAAGAAAAAGGATTACCATTCTGACATATTTAATACAGCCTGTATGCTTACTTCTCCTGCTGAATAAGATTGAGAGCCCTATAATGCAAGTACCGGTATATTAATAAGTCTTTTGTATGGTTTTTCACTCAAAAATATTTAAAATATTTTGTATTTGGGGTTTTAATTTTGCATCTACAACATAGAGCTCATCCTGTATTTTACATTTTTTTTCCTGGTAAGCAAGAAACAAATCATTTATCAATCTTACTAGTAAAACCACAATAATATGTTTAAAACTTTAGGTTTACAAACTTATATAACATTCTAACATCTATGATATCATAATATAGTATGGGAACATATGTGATTGTTGTGCTAAGTATTATTATGTAATATCAGTAAGATATGTGTTTATTTTTGCTTTGAAAACTTGTTTTGTACTTGTATTTCAGCCATGAGTTCAATCCTTAATCCATACCTACTTTTTGGTGAAAACATTTTTCTCTTATATGTTTTGAAAGTATCTAATCTATATATCTTAGATTGTAAACTCTAACGAGCAGGGCACTCTGATTTCTACTGTACTAAATTGTATTGTAATCGTACTTTCTGCTCTTATGTTGTAAAGCACTGTATAATCTGCCTGCGCTATATAAATCCTGTATAATCATAATAATATGCAGAAATAATCATTTCAAGTAAAAAAATCCATGTAGATAAAGTTATCTGTAGAATAAGAACATGATGGGTAAGTACAGTAAGCTTTGTGCAAACTGGGATTCTGATCCAACAAATTAGTTGCAATTATTGTTCAACTTAAAAAAAAAATGTAAATTAAACAAGATCAGCTCATCTTCACACTAAATTAAATTCTTACCTAGTTTGGGGCACTTACTAGCATAAGTTTATTTGCAACATACAATACTTTTAGGAAAAGGCATATAAATATAACTGCATACCTAAGGCTGTGGTACGATATTTTGCAGTAAATACAGTGGAATAGGGTTTCAACCTGTGACAGGTTTTTCTGCCTGTCTGTGTACTCGATAAAGAGGGTTTTCTACACTTCTGGTGTGATCATAGAATGTTAGGGAAATGTACGGAATGGGGACAAAGATAACAGTAAAAAAGTGACAGACATATCAAGTGCTCCATATTTTTTTGTATGCAATATATAACAATTCCCCAGCATTTAACACTATCAGCTTGCAAAGAAACCCACAAATTAAAATGTATTATTGTTTTTTATTAACAAAAAAAAAAAAATTACACTAAGCTAAATGAATGTTTACTTTGCTAAGTTAACATTCATCACTCTTTGGGGCTGACTTCCTAAAGGAATAAAGACTGCCCACTTTGTGCAGTGGAATATTTACTGAGCTTAGTGAGGAAAAGAAGCTGTAATCTTTTTGAATTGCCAAACCAGGGAATTTTAAAAAATGCTTTTTTTCTTAAAGGAAAAAAATTGCTAAACCAAGGAATTTTCAAAAATGCTTTTTTTCTTAAAGGATAAGTTCACCTTTTGGAACATGTTACATGTTACATGTCCCACTCGTATTTAGGGTGTGACATGTAAAATGTTCCAGCAGAACACCACCCCCACTCCCCCCCCCCCCTCCTTTGCAGGGTGCGGGAATCTTCTCCCAGCACCCAATGTCACTATTTGAAAATAACATGGCCATTTGGGGCTCCACCCATATGCCACTTCATTCATTCACAGTTTCCTGCGAACAACTTGAACTACAAGTACTGTCAGTCTTTGCAGCTGGTGGCTTGCAGTTCTGAATGGACTGGGGGGTCGCTGATGAGTGGCTTTGTAGTTAATTCACAAGTTCTGTAGCTTGTAAACAGTCAGCTCAAATGCAGGTCCCGGCTGAAAACTGCAGGGCTTGTCTGCAGGCATCTCGCATTGCACCCATGATCCACTGATCATGGGTGCAATGCTTATTTGGCTGCTTAGGGAAAAAATATGTGCATTTATTATTTTTTCCCAAAAGGTGAACTTCTTTTACAAATGACTTGATGATTTGGGTGAACAGGATGTTACCGTATTAGTGAATATTTACTTTGCAAACTTAAAGTGGAGTTCCAGCTGAAAAGAAAAAAATAAAAGTAAGCAGCTTAATACGGTCCAGCGGTGTCCTCACCATGGCTGGTTTCACCGTCCGCCTTCTCTCCCGGCATCTTCAGTGTGGGCACCCAGCTGTGACAGCTCCTGGCTTCACAGCCGTGTGCCCACTGTGCATGCGTGAAAAGCGCTGTGCTTTATGAATGACCCCATAGTCTTCTAGGACCTGTCACATGTCCCAGAAGACTATGGGGAGAGAGTGGGGAGGACAACTTCCCCTTCCAATTGCCTAGGCGATTGCAGCGGACGTGGGAGTGGGTACCTGTCAAATTCAGGTACCCGCTCCCCAAAGGTGCCAATCCTTAATGGGGAGTGGGGGACAAAAGCTTAAAGTGGAACTTCCCCTATTGGGTGGAGCCCTGCTTTATCAGTGTCTACCCCTTTAGTAAATCAACTCTCTTTAGTAAATCAGCTGTATAGTTTATGACTTGACACAACCAATCATGATAATCCAACATCT